GAAAAGCGTCACCATTATTAATCAAACCATTCTTACCCGCGAGTTTCATATCTCAATTTAATTACAGTTTGACCATAAGTAGTACTCCTCACTTTGCGCGCTGCGTATTCGAAGAAAACATAAAGATGACAATAGTTTATTTATAATAATTATTATACTATATTATATCATATTATATTATATTATATTATGTTATATGATATTATATTATATTATACTATATTATATTTTATTATATTATATTATATTATATTATATTATATTATATCATATTATATTATATTATATATTTTATTGTATTGCACTGCGTCGTATAAGTTCAGTTCCCCTTCAAAATGGATAAGTCAATCACTTCATCAAGCGAATGTCTGGTAACAGTCCTAAAAAGGATATATGGTGCGGACAGCCCGCATCCTAAACTACTCAAAATTTATCAGCACTTTCTAGTGAGGGTAAGAAACCTGTCGAAGCTAAATTCCATATGTAACTGAGGCAGAATTTATAGATATCTCAGGGCCAGAAAGAAGATGCGGTTTCCTCTTTAAGTTAGGAACCTAGGAACTAAGGAAAGCTGGATTCCACTACCTACGTGTTAGCCACCACAGTCTCCAGTTAGTAAGCACTTTTGAAAACTGAGACTTACCACGTCCTCACTCTACGACCAACCTGTAAGTAGACCAGAGGATGAATTATTTTACAATATGAGTGGAACTCCCTTCTGATAAGTCAACAATCAAGCAGCCAACCAATACGTGACCAAGTGATGCAGTATACGTGATTGAAGAATGGGTGGTGCTATGTCCTGTCTAAATGAGAGCTCGTCCCACTACTGATCAGCCACTAATAGCCGAACGACTATGCTTTCAACCACTGGCGGGAAGGTCGCGGGTTCAAAACCCTCTGCGTTCCGTGGGATGAGCAGTGCTGATAATTTATAACAAGGATTATACAGCTGTACAGTACTTCTCGGCTTTGCAGCATAGAGTGCATAGAGTGGCCAATCTCCTCACACTGCCAAACATCCTTTGATCACAGGTTACCGAGTTGATTAGACTTTAGCGTCCATTATGCTTTTCATCCTGTTCAAAATATGTGTTCTCATATTCACCTACACCACCACAATCAATCGCCTCACGTCTTTATTGTGTCCAAAAGAACCTGGATGTAACACTTAAGTCGTCCTGGACTTACCATGTAGGCCGTTTCTCTTTATCTACCGATAGGTCTGTGACCACATAACTACTCCCCTTTTACAGGCTATTCGGAATCCTCAGATGAGATTTCATCCTTAGGTGAAGCTGATCTACGCTGAAAAGCTGCGCACTGCACAACTGTATCAGGTTTATTGAGAATCATCAGCATTGCGCATCCCACAAAGACCAGAAAGTTTCGAACCAGCGGCCTTCCTGTCAGTGACTGAACACCTAATCGTTCGGCCATGAGTGGCTGATCAGTATTGTGATTGACGCGCACTGAATATTCAACTCCTTGTCATTGGCGAGTTGGTGATGACGAGAATATGCGAAATGCCTGCATCTACCACTTCGCTTCCTGTGTTGTTTATCTTACTGAAGGAATAACTGTTTCAAGCACTTTTGGTCTGCATCTTTCAGTTATCCTTTTAGGGACCGACTAGTGACACTATCGCGGAGCATTTACCTAGCATTGATATGTCCGATTTTGCGAGCGTACAGAACTTTCGAAAACTGGAATGTTACTGTGTAGAATGACGGTTAAAACACACGCCAATGGTGTTTAATTGCTGTGTTGCGAGTCATTTCAGTCTCTCCAATATTACGCACTTATCACAGTCATCCTCAATTGATTATTTTAACTACCTCTCCCCTCGCATCCGAACTAGGGGAATTTCACCCCTGCAGTTTTCACATCTGATTTTTCCACGTTCTATACCGTCCTCATGATAGGACTGTGCTCGAGTTGGCCCAGTGAACAAGGCGCGAAATCAGTGACCAGAAGGTCCGTGGTTCGAACCTACCCAACCTCTGCTCCTGTCCAGACTTGGGCAACCTAGCAGTAACTCCACCCTCATGCTTCCTTCGGGTGGTACGGCAGCTAAGCACCGAAAGGGCGTTACATCTGGTAGACCGATAAAACTGACTGCGTTGGTCTGTCCAACCACGGTCAGTGCCAATAGGAAACCGATCGCAGCATGGGACTGCGGCACAGGTCGCTTCCTCCCATTAACTCGAATTGTAGCGCACTGCTTCCTAGCGATCTGCACCACAAGCTGATGCTCTTCGATATCAAAGTGTGTGAAATTCCCATAGAAAGTTGGAAATAATGTGGCTACTTAGTAACGTTGTACTCACTTGGGGATTTTATCGGCTCCAAAATTACCCAAGTTTTTTGGACAGGTTCACGCAGTCAAAGATAACCGGTAGTTCCTTTTATATAATGCCGAGCCAGCCGCTTCATGATGACTGAGAGAATAAAAAGGGTGGTCCTGGAAATTTACCCATCTGTAGGAACGGATGGTTGGATACCGTATTTGTCTCAACCAAAAATGTCCCGATGGAGTGGCGAGTAACTAAAACTCAGGGGAATTTCTTTTGACTTGGTGTAGGCAAAAGGCGAAATGAAATTAAAACTGTCTAGAGTGAGCACTCCTACAAAACAACTGGTTCTGTTCGGTACCGCCCAATTACCTCTTGGAGCTCTTATACTCTGAGTTCCCCATTTCGCCGCGACGAGCAGAACACTTTTCCTCACATCCTCCGACAAAATGCTCTCTGAAACAAAAGAGAACAGACTTACACTCCATAACCAGATGCTTCCTGGTTCTTGTGTAGTTCAGATGTTACGAGATATATTGCAGCCTTCAATGTTCAGGAGGGATCACCAATCTACACTGGTGTTACTGGTTGTCACTGTAAAGCTTGCTGCACCGATTAATTTTTGTATCGGGGTTCATGCATGCATGACAGGATGGACATAAAAGTATTCTAAATTTCTGACTTTAGCTGTGCTTATAAGGATGACTAGTTAAGCGGCACAGTTACTTGCGCATCGACTAAATCGGACGTTTCGCTGTCAATCTTTCGATGGCATTTTCAACAACTCGTTGATTTCCAGGGCGTGCGCTTCTAAGTCCCACCCATACCAACATAAATCACATTAGGCAACAGATTATGCATGTGATTGTGCATTTTTTGGTAACGATTATATCCGGTCGCAGTTTTGTCTGTGTAAGAAACATGGAACTAAGAGCAAAAGAAATCTTATCACGGATAGCTACATGGAAGCAGCTGGAGAAACAGGCAAACTGTGCAAGTCATAGCAAAGTATACGGAAATAGTAATTACACAAGTCAAAGAAGAACAAGGAATTGGCGGGGCTGAGTGTAAGGTTAGGTCTGTGAACTAAGTTGGTATAAAAACAACCGGCTAGCAAATATACTCACGGTGATCATGTAAAGCGTTACTAATCATGTATAAGATAGGTCGCAAAGTATTTGGGACAAAAAGGAGAAATGAAAGACTTGCTGCACTAAATGGGCGGAGCCTGTGGAACCGAGGTGAAAACAGAGGGAGTGCAGATTGGAGGTGCAAGATGGTACAAAAAATAAGTCATTTGTGGCGATTGTCCAACAGGCTAGTTAAATGTCGTGTACAGTAGTTAAATTGAGTCTCGCGATGGAAGTGGTGCTGAGAGGTATTCGTGACAGTGAATAAGATCGAATCGGACGTGGAATGCGTGAAAATCGACCATCAGAGCAATCAAACATACTCAGCCCAACGGGACTGACTGGGGAAGTTAAAGACTGTGGAGCTGAAGGACGTCTCGAATTCACTATTTGCTCATTCATCCCACGGGAGGATAAACGATGCTTCGCTCCAATCTTATGTGGTGGATCTGCATCTATAAAAAGTGGTGTACTTGCATCCTGAATCCTGGAACCTTGACCACTGGGTAGTCTTGTGCGGTGAGCTCTTTCAGCAGACTCTGATTTTTCACACTGTTGCTGCTGGAGTTTGCGATCGACTCTGCTCAAAAGCATGGGTTTAGTTGAAAGCGATTGTTTAGGTTTACTCGCTTTGAACAATGGAGCAGTTAGTCGAGATGCTTTGGAACTATCCTGATCTAGTAGCTGTCCTAGACTAGATTTCCGTGGTGCTGAGTTGGATAGCCGTTCAAACACATTGTTGCAGGTTGTTTTTTGGGATGTAGTCTTCATCTGTGAAACATTAGAGTTACGTTCAGTGTCATTTGCTCCATTTCGACTGTCCGACGAAGGTAACTGAGTCATCCCCAGCTGTTCCATCGCGGTACACAAGGGTTTACATAACCCATTGAAGATGCTGTTATGGACGTCATCTGCAGTGGTTTGTTGTGTTGAAACTAACTCTGGGAAAACTTTAGGCTCAGACGTATCCGCAAGTGCCACGTTCAGTGTGGAATACTCTTCTGGTTGGTCAAGATTGTGAGTCGCATTCTGGTAGCTTTCCTGACGAGAACACAAAAACAAGAGAAATGATGAAATTGTAGCTTGTTACGCGGCAGTTATTAATTCACTGTATCTGTTCGCTCAATCCTGTAAAGAACCTGGCAAAAAATCAACGGTCATTGAGATCACAACAAAGAAGTTTGCAACAACCCAATCACAACACAGTCGGAAGTTGCATCTCATAAAAGGATACCGGATACTGTTTCACGTAACAACAATAAACGCCAGCAGGCTTGTGAGCAAGTAAAGTTAACTTTAGTAGCCGAGTCCAATCCAAAAATACCAAGAGTCAGTAGGATTAGGACCTTTATCTAATGCTAGACTGGAGTTGGCTCATACCATACTGACGCGTGTATGATTACAATAGATCCTCCCTACAGCAAAGGCTAGCGATACATATGTGACAGAACTTTCGAAATGGTTACGCGGCGGATGACCACTATCCTCAAGAGAACGTTTATTGTCGAATACCCAAAACGAACTTTGGGAATAAAGTGGCCATTCACGACTAATCTATGTTGATCTATTCCTTTGCGAATGTTGGACGTACGGCATGACGCTCATCCCTAAGGCTTGCTGAGCACACGCCGTCTTGCTAACTGCCTGACAAGCCAAACCACATGACCGATACGGTTGTTGCACACACACACCCCGGATCCAAGGTTACCTGATAAAGCGCAATCGCTTAATCAGAAGTATTTACAACTCGACAACCGACGTATTGCGACCAGAACCGTAACGTAAAAACGGATAGGTCCCACTGAAACTCAGGTAACTTGGTCCAAACACTGCGCTATAAGTGATGCTTCACTTCGTAAAACGATTTTACCGACCGACTTTATTGACCGATTATGTTGTAAATTTGCTATCCCTTTAAGTGCTTACACAGTATGCATGTGTTTGCCCGACAAAACCATATCGAAATCATGACTGCAACATATGTGTTCTACAAATCACCCGTTCGAAATGACATACATTTAAATGATTAATGATAGCTATTTAAGTGAACTGTTGCACTTGTATACAACTAATGCGCAACCGATGAATAATTGAAATATGCATTCCAGATAACACCGAATGACCTATCAGAAACTCACCAAAGTTGTCTGAAACTCTTGGATAAAAGTAGATTCCCGTCACTTTTGTACGGTAAACGTGTGGTCAGTCTCGCTTGCAACCACTCTCACGAAGAAAAATCCAGAAGACATTTAGGCACCCTCTTTCAGGAGAGCGGGATTAATTTTTCCCGGGAATAAGGCTAGCTAACCCCAATGAAGCAGATCGCTACAGCTCATCATCGTCGTCGACAGCATGACATCAGCGTTCAACGCTGATGCTTCGCTGTTGTACAACCATGGCTTATTTGAAAACCTTATTGTACAATAGAAAATAGAAGTTGACGGGGTAAGGGACTTGGTGCTAGCTTACTACAATCATTCGGAGGCGCCTCCACCTCCAGACACTCATTCAGGCAATGCGGATAGAAACTAACAACAAAAGACCCACTGACATCGACTAGCAGCCATATCCTGCAGCGTCCCCAACCAGTTAGAGTGGGGATCATGCGGTCCTCATCCTGTAAGGCGAGTAGCGCAGACAGCACCCAAAGGTTTCGTGATCTCTTTCATATCCCTTTGCCAGGTCAAGGGTTAGCCACCTCTCCATTTTTGTCACTCTGAATTAGGCACGAAAAATAGCACTCTCTTCACGGGAGGTCACTGAAGAAGAGAAACGGGCAGCTTATCAATAGGAACCTTTCTCACATATCCAATTGATAAGCTTGCGGAGCAATTCAAACCCCAGTGATCACAGTACAAGTGAGCTTTAACAAGGAAGAAGCAACGATCCACAGGCCGAATAATTATGGTTGGTAAAAATTCAGTGACACACTTCAGACTAGACCCCAAATAGGACTTGTGTCGGTTCCTGGTCTAACCTAACTGGCCAGTATTCTCTTGTCACTATATAAAAAAACAGTAAACGGGATTGTCGTAGTAAACCTGAAGTACACTGGTTATCTTGCTGCTTTAAGATATATATTGTTGTTACTTTTTACTGCTCGCTTCGGAATTTCTAATTGCTCAACTCATCGTTAAAAACTGATTTATTGAGTCAAGTGGATATGAAACTCAAGAGTCTGAGACTGTCTGCTGCAACAAATAGCACGTTTATCCTAAGTTTACGTTACTCGCAAACAGTCACCAACTAATTACTACCGAACATCCTAGTTGTTAGGCGCGAAAATCGAGAACATATTCACCACAAGCTACTCAATATTGCAAAATGTTGAGATCAGGAAATTTGAAACAGTGATTGTTCAAACAGCCAAAAACTCCGAAGATAAATGTGCGAATCTGGTTTGGTAAGTAGTGGAGAGATTTTAACTATTTCTGAATTTCATCCTGCAAATGAAGTCAACTTACATTGGAAGGTTAAGAGCCTCCGTGCGTTCGTCTCGCCACAATTGCGAAGCATTAACAATGTACATCTCAAGGGGATTCAAACTTTTGATACTTAAGACAGGAGCGGAGCACTACAATTCAAACTCGGGTGCCAATGCTGTAAATAAATTACACCAGGCGGGATAAAATCCCAATCACAAACCAATTACGCAGTTCACCTCAAACGGAACCGGTGAAATAATGCATGTCCTGCTCAGCTGTGAGGTGCTTCATGCAATTAGATGACGAAGTACTCAGGGATCCAGAAAACCATAAAATTCAGTTTAGTTATGAGATATGATCATTGAGTAACACATGGTTTCATGGTTTCAGATAAATGTAATGGTGCATTGTGCTACACCACTCGTTGCCAGCACAAAAAATGGATGTGGTTAATTGTATTGGGGAAATTTCCATGTTATTCAACTTAGATTCACTAGATTAGGAAACAAGGTAACTGGACGCACAGTTTGCATCATGAGCGGGGTGTTTTCACATGAGGGTTGGCAACTGCATCCAAAACAATCACGTCCCAGTAATTGCTCTCAACTGCTCAAACAACTCTGGTTGGGCAATCGATGAAACCGCGCTAGCAGCTTATGCAAATGCATCTTTGATACTGATCAGGCTGCTGTTAAAGTAAAATTGCCGGTTGCCAGGAAAAAAATGATGAGTTCTTTTGTTGATATTTAAATGCCAGGACAGGACAGACTGAGCATTTAAAGACCGTCTTATTTCCACCAACTAACTGGACTGTGCCCCTAAGTAGAATCGTTCATCAATGTTAAATCCCAGGTCATTAATAGAGCAGTGAACAACACGGGTAAATGTGCATATAGGTAGTACCTAAGGTCGAAGCTTTCGGAAGAGATGGGTCAAGTGTGGGTAGCCTAAGTGTACATAAGTTGTTTTCTGAAACACAAAAATGTAGTTTCAAGTCGATTTAAATATAAAAACTTCTCTTCGGCATACCGTAGATGCCGCTTTTCCAACCGGGATAACAGTGTCCCCGTTACATTTCTTGTGCGATTCCAAATCACGACAGAGTTGGCCATTCGGCAATTCCCTTGAAGGACTTTTCTTTATGGCACACAGAATACCCTGCCCTTTGATCGGACTGCCTTCCTTGGATGGTGGAGTCGTGTTGCAAGGCCGAATTGATGTCAACACTTGATCGGCATCGGATGGGTTGACTTTCGCCTGCCTCATTTTTGAAGGAAAGACAGATTCTGAGGGGACTCGATAATTTGCTAAAAGCAAGAAAAAACACTTTTGACCCACGATGTTCCATCGTAAAGTGTCCACAATACATCATAATGCATCATGCAGTAAATGTTACTTTTCAATTATCACCTTGCAGGTGAAAAGTTGGTATCGGTAGAGATATGCGTCTTGGCATCTTAGCCAAAGCTCGCAACGTGAACAAACCTGACGCGGACCAAAAAAGCTTTGACCCGTTGGTGGATATAGGACCGAAGCCTGAAATATTGAAGGTGACGAATATACTGCCCGTTCCTTATTCTCAAGCAGATTGGATCATGCCCCTTAGGTTTGACTTACATTTAGGGTGTGGAAGGACCTGGTAACTTCACCGTATGACTTAGTCACTAATAGTGTGACTAAATTAAGTGTGGAAGCCAGGGTGCCAGCGGATCGCCAGCGCTGAGTTATGTTTTGATAGTATGTCAATCGGGCAATCACTTTGATTGGTCGTTTAGATGATGTCAAATTAACCGAGAAGAATCTGTTTCGGTCTTATAAGATAATGTAGAAATCACGGAGTCCTGCGGTATTCTTGAAGGACATCGGAAGTTTGCGAAAACAGAGCCTTCGGCTCGACAACAGAATAGCATGACGGTATGACCCCAGGTGAGAGCTCAATGGATGAAAAATAGCTTGAGGAGCTGAATTGATGTATGAGTCTATATCATAGGATTAAATAAACCAGAGTAACCACAGCAAACGACTTCGACCAGTCGGAGAGGAATACGGGAGAACGCACCAAAACGCCTTCCAAAGGCGCGGAATTTTTTATACCATTCAAACACTAGTTTAAGCTATCCACGTTCATCACCATCTGAGAGTTGTCAGCCTTCGCCAGAGGTGCTTATCCCGTAGGGCAACTCGTAGTAAAAATAGTAATGACATCAATAGTAATATTAATAGCCACATAAAAATGACCAAAACTTAAAGGCGCATAATCTGTGTACCTTACAACTACTGTCTAATTCAACGTTAAATTGAGTAGTGTCACAATTCCAATTCAGGCGGACCTATGTGCACAGTGGACGATATCCGTTAATCATCGCGATACCAGGAGCCGTTATTGTAATTCTCCACATTCTTACGGGAATCATTGTAGACAAACACGATTCGCCGCAATGGATTGCGTTGCCGTACGTGTTCACTATTTTGACTGCCGATACGTAAGCCCCTCCAAAAATACGCACTGGCTGTCTCAATGCTAAAAGTGCTATCTGTTCTGCGGCATCATACATACCGTTGTGGGAGAAATCGATTTGTTCTGCAAACGGCGGTTAACGTGCTGCCTACAGAGTGACTTTAACCAACCACAGGCAGCAGATACGCTCGCAAGCAAGTACGGAACATCCATGATACCGCCCACCCGGTTAAAGTACGTTTTAGAAAGTTTGTGTACGGCACGGTGGGCCGCACTCATTTTCAACCCTCACTCATGGGCTAGACTGAGCTCCATTTATTTATTATTTCATCGTATTATATTGAACCCACAGATATCTTTTTGATCACTGACTGATTTCAGCCTGATACAGAGGGGGTAGTTGGTGCCTAGACTGTGAACTCGGTGGCTGAATTGTCAAGCTCAGCAAAAACTCAATTGCTGTTTTTTCTGTCATTTTGGTACGTGAACGTTATTTGTCCGAACTGTTATCAATTTCATCGGATAGCATTTAAAAAGGTAACAGATCTTTGGATAAAAGATTATCTTTCGCAAGTATGCAAAACTCAAGTGAAAGTTCCGCAAAAAAGTTCAGTCACCAAGAATTACTGTAGTGGCGGCCTTGAATTGGGCAGAAAACTCAAACCCGCAACTGTCCGATTGCGAGTTAGACGCTGTAGCATTTGACCAAGTGTAAATAGCGCACAGCTAGACGGGATATGAGGCCACTATTCTTCCATCACAAAGCTCAAATCACGTTATCCAACGCTGACCATCTCCTCAAGCAACGGGAACTTCTTTCTGGAAACAAAACTTCTAGGTCGATTGAAACTCTCGAAACTCCGTATCATTTATGAACCATCTCTAAATCGTCAACTTATCTATCCTAACAAGTCATTGATCCACACAGGTGAAGTTGGAATTCAGCCAGATGGTACCGTACCGATGAGCGGTAACTTTGCCCAATTCAACAGCTGGATATGGAAAATCCATATTCAAGTCAGTTTCATCATTCGCACGAAGCTGATCGGTGGACAGGTAGCCATGCGGCAAGTATGTGATTGTTAACTACAGAGGAACGTGGTCGATTATGTGCACATTTACTCCAAGAGACTGAATAGGGACAAAAGGTGTCGTATGGATAAGCAGGATAAGAACCAACATCTCAATTAAAAAAAACTGCATCAAATTTCCTAGAATATAGACGTATAATAGTGTCCGTAAATGTTACTCACGTGGATTCGCTTTCCGACATTCATCGTATTTGGTCAGAAAATGATTAAGCGTGTCCCATCCACCTCCAACGCGAACCATTACGTGATTTCGCAGAATCTACAATCATGAGTGAGATATCGATAAGTGAAGACCGCAAAAAACTAATCCTCAAATGTTACCTGACAGAATGAAAGGTGCTTATTAACTGCAGTCCTTAAGTTATGGATTTGCTGGACAACTTTTTCTATGTTGACGAAGCCATCGCATCATGTCCCAAGTATAAGAACTGTAGACACGAGGCTTTGCAGAGTATAGAGTGATCCTTGTCTTCGTATACTGGTAAAAAAACAGCAGTGTGTACCTGCTATGAACTTTTTACAGCTGAATGCTCCATGAAGCTGAGTGAAAGTAGAAAACCGTGCAAAATGGACGCGTAACACATCCACCTGTGTGCTTCACTGAAGAAACATGGTGACCTTTCGTTTTGTCGCTGCTGGTTCGTCGAGTTACAGCCGGCCAGATGGCCACTTCCAATGTAAGCATAATCAGTGAAAAGCCACGCTGATGATGTGAGTCAGCAAGAGATCCTGCTGCTTATTTTGGGCTGTAGATACATAGGGAAAACCGGTATGTACAGTGGCCTCTTCACAGAGAGAAGACCACTTTGAAATTCCCTGGAGGTAGTCTCTCGTTAAGGGCAATGTCACCGGTCTGAAATCAGTGCTACGCTGTTGTTAGAGAATTTCATGGAAGTTATGCAATCTCGAGGGGATTTTTCGGGAAAAAAATAGTGTTTTCTGACAGAGTTCGTCTCCTAATACCAGAAGGTCTGAAATCAGTGCTACGCTGTTGTTAGGTAATTTCATGGAAGTTGTGCAATCTTGAGGGGATTTTTCGGGAAAAAATAGTGTTTCCTGACAGAGTTCGTCTCCTAATACCAGAACAGTGTACTGAATTGCTCTAAACTCAACAGAATTTTTGAGGATAAAGCCTCAAAGAGAATTCCTGGCCTACTCACCGTGTAGGTGGCTTCTTCACAGAGCCTTTCACAGAGAAAAGACCACTTTGAACTTCCCTGGAGGTAGTCTCTCGTTAAGGGCAAGGTCACCGGTCTGAAATCAGTGCTACGCTGTTGTTAGAGAATTTCATGGAAGTTATGCAATCTCGAGGGGATTTTTCGGGAAAAAAATAGTGTTTTCTGACAGAGTTCGTCTCCTAATACCAGAATGTACTGAATTGCTCTAAACTTCAACAGAATTTTGAGGATAAAGCCTCAAAGAGAATTCCTGGCCTACTCACCGTGTAGATTCCGTTTATTTGTGGCTTTTGCTTGCATCTTGTTTGATTAGAGAGAATTCATTGGAACCTTCATCTAGCTTCAAATCCATCTGAGTAGAATCGATGTCATACTGAGAGGTGATAACGACAATGGCCCGCAAAATCATGCAAAAGTAACCCAAAAGCCACCCTTAAAAAGTGGTTTTTCTTCAATGTTTTCTGGCGTCATAGGTCAGAGTAGCTCTAAGACCAAACATTCAGTGTCATATGTTGAAACCTAACTTTGCTCTCCTCTTCAGGGATGCTATCCCAAGTAGACGTTGACCAAGCAATGTCAAATTAGAGTTGTACCGAAAACCTATCTGGGCCAAAGAGACAACTGATATAAATCCATCGTCTCTGTCAGCCTCCGATACAATACTCACTGAAAACAATGAACACGCCACAACAAACAAGTATCATGATGCATAAATATCTTGATTTCTTCCATGCGCCGGATACATCAGTAGCCTGACCACTGGTGAAAAGGGCTCCTAAGTTTTACCCATTCCATGGAGGACCTGATAATTATCATGGTAGTAGCATGGAATCCCTACAGATGACAATTATTCGTTCGATGCTAATCATGCAATGTGAGGTAGAGTTAAACGTTTATCGAGTAGTTCAGATGAGTTTCTGATTTCAAATTTAGTCAAAGCAATTTTCAATGGTTTCAAATGACATGTACACTTGTTCACTGCTAACCTAGGCATCTAGAATTCTCGTATAGCCACCCAAGCATGTGGGTTTCTCTTTGTTTCTTATAAGTTGTCGGACATATGTCCTTCTTTGAGGTTACCAATTCCCATCGGGGACCCAAAGTGTAGATGTGAAATGATTCCACTGGATACAAAAAAGAATTGTACAAAAGTCTGGAAGGAATGCTCCTCGTCAATTAGCTTGGAGGGTGGCCTGTTTTCGTGGGGTCCCTCCTACTAGGCTCGCTTGAACGATTAAACAAAAACTCAGGTGCATAGAGTTGATCGTACTTATTATCATTCCTTGATAGCAGCTGGGCAGGAGGATGTCTTAAAAATTCCCGGTTTGTTTATGTCTACGCTAAAGTTGGCGGGTGCGCTGTCCAGTGAATCGATTTGTAGAATTCGATATTTGCAAGTGGTTTCTGCTAGCATATAAATTTGTGACGGATTGACCAAGAGGGTCAACCACAGAGAACAAGTTTTGCTCATTCGTTCCATGAACTCGATATCTGGTCGATTTGGAAAAGGTCTATACAATCGTCGAAAAACGTTCACAACTTCAAACGAAGAACGAATGAGCAGGTCTTGGAAACACAACCACTCAGTTCACCACTCCAAGCCACTAGGTAAAGTTGTCGACATTTTGCTTGTAACAAGACTAGAACACTAAATGCCTACCGGAGATAGCCGGCAGTCATACTCCGATAGTTTAGCAATGAAACACCTCCATTTTTTGTGTCTTAATGAGGTTTCCTAATTTTGCTTGTAACAAGACTAGAACACTAACTGCCTACCGGAGATAGCCGGCAAACAGACTCCGGTAGTTTAGCAATGAAATACCTCCGTTTTTTGTGTCTTAATGAGGTTTCCTGATAAGATGGCCCACAGCTAATAACTGAGTGTAATGAAAACTAACTCTCAAAATCACACTTGCCTTTGGGGCAACTGCTCAATGGCGGCAAGACAGGACAAGCTATGACATGCGTAGTTCTGAGCTGAAAAGAAACGTCATTCTGTCCGGACGTATGCATTCGTGACTCATCAAATTGTGGACGTATGCTCGTCACGCAACTACGTACTATGTGGTGAACACTCACCACATAACCAGATTTCTCCCAACACGCCATGCAGGGGACGGATAAACAAATCTCAGTCCTTTATGGGTACAAGGTATGAGGAGAACGTCCGAAACACAGGACCGAAGCACGCCACTCGAATTTTAACATTCGGCGTCCACTGCTATTTCAGTCCCATTCCAATGTATCGTTGGTCCGAAGCACGACCAGTCATCGTTTCCTTACAGTAATGCATTGTGGCAGCCGCTTTGTTTGGAGAAAATGTCAACAGTTGCTGGGAAATATCAGTTACTTGCTAGGTCGAGACGTATATACCTTAGGTGATAGCGAGACAAAGCTACATAGACAGACTGTTTTTGGTTGGAATGTGAATTTTTTGCAGCATCAGAAAAGGTATTCCAGTTCAACAGCTGAATAACCATCAGCAAACTAGGAACAGAACCGGCGACACACGCGGGTCACTAACCACTGAAGAGGTCCAACGCCGATACCTTGGATCAAGGAAAAATGCATTCAGTGCTTAGCATACACTGCGCAAAAAAACAGCAAGAGACAGCTATCACATACGTGTTGCCGGAAACAAATAACAGTCAAGCACCTTCGAAATAAGTTACATTTTACCACACTTGTGGAGGAGAAACCAATTATTCTAATGAAAAAAAGCATTTTCCTCTAGACGGTTTCAAGACCTCACGATATCCTGTGACCAACCGCACCCGTTTGAATTGGCTTGTTTACTGTCTTTCAGCGCGATTACGGCAAGACCACACGCCGTGGCAAATTAATTCAAGGATCGCCTGACCAAAGGTCCTAGAGTTAAAAGAAGACACGATGATGTTCAGTTCGCGTGATCTGCCCTGCCAAGGTACTCATTCTTTCGGTAGTGCTCAAAAATTCTTACCAGTTGTTGACAAGTGGTAGTGGCGGTGACCGATTTCGGAGGAGCATGTAGCCCTAAGCGTTGACTGGTGAAAGTTACCGGTTGAACTGAGGCAGCCGTTGATTGATATTCCGACGTGGTGTTGAGAAACCGAGTCAAATAAAGCATACTGTATTATACCAAGTTTGTGTGAAGCTTAAAAACCTGTGTACGAGTAGAGCACGAATCACTGAAAACCTCCATTTATTCCACCAAGCTATGTTTCTTATACCATTCTGGTTCGATTGGTGCCCGGTGCACTACAGTCTGACCTTAAACAGCTCACTATTCATTCGATATTCTTATTTTTCGCTCTTCTTATGAAAAGAGGTAGGCGGTTTCCAAATACTAGATATTCTGTTCTTGATTTTATTTGAAATTAAGGATTTGGCACATGTTCACATGGAACCTGACTTGTGTGGATGCTTCTAAAACATTTTATGCACGTTCGATCATTGTATAGCGAGCTTATACCTAAATCGTTCAGCTAAACAGCTTAGACACGTGACCAACTCACTTAATGTGGCACTCAGCGGAGTATTCGTCAGTTCTTTCATCGATTGCACCTCTCTACTCCATACTTGCTATGCGACCCGGATGGGGCACGAGGGCTAAAACTACTAGATCGCCTAATTCTAGACAGAAGCTGTCAAAAAACAGGTTTGGGTTCGAATAAAGGGCTATCCGGTGAATAGCATCGTATCTCTACCTCTTTACCTACCTACCTACCTTTACATCTTTGCCTACGAACTATCACGAGCTCGCAACCAATTCAGATAGTACTTAAACTATCTGTTTTGATGCGCTATGCTCACTCAAGACTACTTTATTGTTGTTTAAATGTACCACTTTCGCTTAAACAACTTAGCTAACCGAAATAAAGAAAGGATTATGTACGAGTCCTCCAGAGCTCCAAAGAGTAGTTTTCGTACTTTTTACATCCTTGGACAAACCTGTCTTCACGAAGTAAATCTGGCTTTTCAAAAATCGGACAGAAAAGTATTCCTTGTTAAACAAGACCACAATAATTATTAAATAAAATCCCTCCGTAGATCATTGTGACGAACGCTGGAGCAACATGCCTCTTTTGGTTGGTTCATAAGA